AAAAAAAAAAAAAAAAAACCAACAACAACAGCAAAACCAAAACCAAACAACATTCACTGAGTTTTGCGGGAGTTGTTTACTAAATTTTCAGCAAATTCTAACATTAACAGAGCTGCTAGATTTCTTTTTATTTTCTATGCTTATGGTATGTTTTGTTGCAAAGTTATAAGTCACCAAGATGTCTGCTCCATACCTGCATGAACACCTTTCCAATGACCACATCGTCGTCATCCTTAAACACTGTGCTGAAGACTACTGTGACTCTGTCCTTTTTAGACTCAACGTACCTGAGGGGAACAAAACCCAGGAGGATAAGTACAGAATCATAATGGGGTTTTGTCAATAACTTGATCTACAAGTGCATCAGAAGGCTAAAGTCATAAATCTCTTGAATCATAATATAAAGGTGTGCCAAATGAGATGATATTTATGGTTAACAAAGTCAGTGTAAAACATGAATGCCCTGCCCTAAGAGAGGCAGGAGATGGAAATTATCAGAAGTAGATTTTATGGCCTTGTAAATATAACATGGAACCTATGGTCACCCTGCCTGCTGATTATCCAGGCTATACTCTTAAAGAGGACTCAGAACAGTGGTGCCTTAAAGGAAAGCACTGGATTCTCTTTCCACCATCTGTCAGCTCTCAGTATCTGGAGAGTATGAGGAGTGGCTGATTTTTGCCCTATCACCTACATCCTTCCTGGCTTAAGATATTTTATGATAAAAACACTTTCATGCAATACAGCTTAAGGTTTGACCAAACCATATTTCTTTCAGTAGGTGCCATGGTGGTTTCAGTAGGTGCCATGGTGGTGTGATGGCCATACCCAGGCTTTAGGACCAAATTCTATACTCACATGGTCTCATCATCCCTATAATGAATAACTGCCCTGTTCTCTCCTTCCTTGCCCTCTTCTTGGAATTGGAAGTATTTTTCAAAGACAGAGGCAAAACAATTTCGCTTCAACATGCCAGCTTGATGCACAATGGAATCCTTGGATGCAGGCAGATTTTCAAGGTCGTATAGCAAAGAGACATTGTATCCTGGAGGGAGGAAACAAAAAAAACAACCAGCAGTTATATTAAAAAAAAAAAAAAAAAAAAAAAAAAAAAGCAGCATACTATCTCAACCAAGTAAATAGAGACTAGAGGCAATTAAACACATTTTTTTTTCTAGGTTCTACTGACATTTTAACTTTGTCTCAGTGTCTGTACTTTTAATCCAGGCAGTCCATTTCCAACTACCTCATAGGGCAAAATGAGGAGAAATAAAATCTTAATTTTTATAAGATTCTTGTAAATATATATAATTAACAAGTTTTTTTGTTTGTTTTTTTTTGTTTTTGAGACGGAGTCTTGCTCTGTCGCCCAGACTGGAGTGCAGTGGCGTGATCTCAGTTCGCTGCAACCTCCTCCTCCCTGGTTCAAGCAATTCCCCTGCCTGGGCCTCCCAAGTAGCTGGGATTACAGGCACACGCCATCATGCCCAGCCAATTTTTTTGTATTTTTAGTAGAGACAGGGTTTCACCATGTTGGTCAGACAGGTCTTGAATTCCTGACCTCAGGCAATCCACCGGCCTCGGATTCCCAAAGTGCTGGGATTACAGGCATGAGCCACCGCGCCCAGCCTTAACTAATGTTAATAAAAAATTTGAATCAGTATCAAAGATGACTGATTACAAATATGTAATGGGAGAAAGTCATAACCTGGGAACTCTGATTGGAAATTTACTTTTTACTCTTCCAGATACAGTTGTAAAGGAGGCGCATATCTTTCTCTGATAGTTTAACGTGCCAAGTAGCAATACAGCCAACACATGGGTAGCTTTGTGATAATAATATAGACCATTCTCCGTGCCACTGCCAACTCTGAGGAGGAAGGGTAGAAAAACCAACTATCTGTTCATACATATACCTCCCCAATAGCTTTTATTGGCATACATTGTAACATTTTCAGTATTTTAAAAAACATTTTACTTCATTTGATCTCCATAACAGTGCTTTGAAGTCTGCAGGTTAGATAAGGTTACTGTTTTACAGAGGGAAAGGAGATTCAAAGTGACGTGACTTGTCAAATGCAGCATGATACTTAAGTGTAGGTCACTCTATTTTGAGTTGAACAGAACTGGGTCCAATTCCTGGCCTTGTCATTTCGTGACCTTAAAAAAATTGCCAAGTGCGGTGGATCACGCCTACAATCCCAGCACTTTGGGAGGCTGAGGTGGGCAGATCACCTGAGATCAGGAGTTGGAGATCAGCCTGGCCAACACAGAGAAACCCCATCTCTACTAACAATACAAAAATTAGCCAGGCATGGTGGCGGGTGCTTGTAAGCCCAGCTACTTAGGAGGCTGAGGCAGAAGACTCGCTTGAACTGGGAGGTGGAGGTTGCAGTGAGCTGAGATCGCTCCACTGCACTTCAGCCTAGGCAACAAGGGTGAACCTCCATTTCAAAAAAAAAAAAAAAAGGCGGGGACGGGGTATGGAGATAGGGGAGACTGTTGCGAGCATTAAAAAAATTCATAGTACTTAAAATGTGTGGAACATGATAGGTCATCACAACAGGTGCAGAACAGGCACTGAAACCGTTGGCTGACCTGCCTTGACAGCATGTCCACTATGAATTCCCGGAAACAGGGCTGCAACACTTGATTAGCGAGTCAAATGATTAATAAGTGTCAAAAGACCTAGAGATGTTTTTATAAGAATATTTGTGTATCACTGAGGATCATTTTATATTCCAGGCAACTGACGGGAATAACTTTGCCAGAACTGTATGTATGGGTTTCTCACTTCTAAGTATCTGAAAACTTTACACCTCATTACTATTTCATTTTTTCTCAAAAGCATTCCTGAGGTCTATATTTACTGTTGAGCAGGGGCTCTTTAGAAGGATGGGTGTCTAAATCTTTGGAATATATAATGCTTAGCACATTTTTGGCACTCCAGTATTAAATAACGTCATTCCATTTTGGGTAGCTGAAAACCAGATAAACACACAGACTATAAGATTAGATTAAAACAGAAAAGATTTAGAGCTGAGGTTTGCTTGTTTTAGGAAGCCAAATAAAACAAAGCAAATAAAATTACAGCTAAGCTAAAATCTGTTTCTAAGTAAGGCTTCTAACATGATGAACGGAATATACTCAGGATGAAGAGAAGTAAAAATCCAGTATGATTTGCTGAGTTTTTCCCAACATGCCTAGATGATAAACCCATCAAAAAAGAAGAGACTCTATCGTCTTTTTTTTTTTTCTGGAGACTGAATCTTGCTCTGTCGTCCAGGTTGGAGGGACATGGGTCTCACTATGTTGCCCAGGCTGGTCTCGAACTCCTGGGCTCAAGCAATTCACCCACCTCGGCCTCCTGAAGTGCTGGGATTACAGGTGTGAGCCACTGTGCCTGATGGACACAACTATCACATACTTTTACATTTTACACTTGTATGAAGACAGGGTCTGCAATGTGGTGATATCTATGATTTAGTGGGAGGCAGGAGGAGGCCCAGAGACAGAAACCTACTTTCCACGTCAGGATGTTGGCTTTGACAAGCATGCCCAAGACTCTGGACTTGATTTTTTCTGTTCTAGATCTGTTTGTTTCTTTACTTCTCTTTCTTTAATATGCTGATTCTGCCAAAAGCCTACAGTGTTATCTTGGCTTTTATTTCTGTGATACATTCATCCCACCAATTTGGAGATTAAAAAAAAAAAAAAAAAAGGTGCTGGGTATGGTGGCTCATGCCTGTAATCCCAACTCTCTGGGAGGCTGAGGCCGAGGTGGGTGGATTGCTTGAGGCTAGGAGTTTGAGACCTCCTTAGTCTGCTCTGGCAGTCTGGGCAGCAGCCAGTGAGACCCTGTTTCTACAAGAAAATAAAAAATATTAGCTGGGTATGATGGCAAGTGCCTGTAGTTCCCAGCTACTGAGAGGCTAAAGTGGGAGGACTGCTTGAGCCCAAGATTTGAAGGAGGTTGCAATGAGCTATGACTGGACCAGTGCATCCCAGCCTGGACAACAGAATGAGACTCTGTCTAAAAAAATAGGTGAGGTGAGGAAGTAAGCTAGTACCAGCAACTGCTAAGAGTGATAGAGGCGCGGTGGGTGGCTCACGCCTGTAATCCCAGCATTTTGGGAGGCCAAGGCAGGCAGATCACAGGTCAGGAGTTCAAGACCAGCCCGGCCAACATTGTGAAACCCTATCTCTACTAAAAATACAAAAATTATCCTGGTGTGGTAGTGGCAACCTGTAATCCCAGCTACTCAGAAGGCTGAGGCAGAGAACTACTTGAACCTGGGAGGCAGAGGTTGCAGTGAACCGAGATTGTGCCACTGCACTCCAGCCTGGGCAAAAAGAAACACTCCATCTTAAAAAAAAAAAAAAAAAAAAAAAAAAGGGGGGAAAACAAGAAAAAAAAAAAAAAAAAAAAAAGGGGGGGGGGTGACAGAGAATTTCCTTCTTAGAAGACTTCTAATTAAGGTACCCAAGTTATAACAGCTGAGTAAAAAGTATTATGTTCCAATGGTCTTACTACCTGGTTCTCACTTTGGGGTCCTGCTAAATGCCTCGGAATTTGAGACACACCACTGAATCACAGGGTAAAAAGGCTGTTCGCTTTATACCTCCTAGCTGTTCTATTCAAGGATGACATGGTGCCTTTCAATTCCTCTGGCCATGAATGCTTAGACCACCTATTAGAAGACTGGATTAAGAAAGGGTCTGATATTTTTATTACTTGAAATCACAAGAATAGTGCTGTGAATGTTCCTCTTCCTTCTCCAAATACGTAGTGCGCAGAAAAAGGTGTTATTAAGGGCTGAGGGTGGGAATCAATGTTTGTTCATTCTTTTCAAAGGCATTTTAATCACCACGAACAAACAAATGTGGCCCTCTGGCTGAAAGATTAAGTAAGGGTCATGTGGCCCCATCAGGTCAATGTTAATAATGCAATACATCAACTTTGTACCTTCTGCTGTGTTCCATATTGGACAAAGCAAAGCCCCTTAAAAGCTATTTTTATGGAGGGAACTGAATTAGAAATGGGTTCATGCAGAAATATTTGTAATATTTAAATGAAATCCTTTGGGTAAAAAAAGCATAATGTATAAAGGACACCTGTCTTCCCACATCATTCCATAGTTGCTAACATGACTACATACCTGATTCTGGATTTACCAAGAAACTCCCGTACACCCTCTTTAATAACTAGAAAATAAAAACAAAACAAAACCACATATGTTAATCCAAAGGCCATGATAATTTCATTATTTTTAAAATACTGTACTTGCCAAGCTTTTTCTAAGTCAGCATTCTTCCTAACTTTCATTTGGTGGATGGGAAAGGAGAGACAGAGGGGAAGTGGGTTTAGTCACCAAACGGGCCACAAAGCTGAGATGAGAATCTTTAATCAAAGCGCATCCTTTACTTTTTTAGGACTTGACTATACCCTTAATATGTTCTCTGTTCTCCTCCAGATCCCAGCAAAAGGATGGCAAATGTCAAGTGAGAGACCAGATTGTTAGTCGTCAGCCTAAGCACAGGCTGAGCCACTAACCCAGGTGAATGAAGAGGAAAAACCAGGACGGCTGGGAACTGATCTGTTTGTCTGCTGATCTTGTATGCTTTAAAATTACTCAGTGCATAACCAGCTTTTAAGGCAAAGGACAGTGAATAATGAAATCTCAGCTAGTTATTAATATTGGTGTCCACAGAAGGTTGTACACTCTACATGTCTTTTCCCCACCAGAACCTATGCTGGCTACTTTCCAGGTTTTTGAATTAAATGAAAACAACAACAATAACAAAAAATACCCAAAAAACCAAGAACCCCTTTTATACACTCTGCTATGGTTGGAATGCCCTTTTGAAAACTCATGTTAAAATTTATGACTTTTTTTTTTGTTGGAGATGGAGTCTCACTCTGTTGTCCAGGCTGGAGTGCAGGGGTGCGATCTTAGCTTACTGCAACCTCCACCTCCCAGGTTCAGGTGATTCTCCTGCCTCAACCTCCAGAGTAACTGGGACTAGAGGTATGCATCACAATGCCTGGTTAATTTTTGTATTTTTAGTAGAGACGGGGTTTTCACCATGCTGGCCAGGCTGGTCTCAAACTCCTGACCTCAAGTGATCTGCCCACGTTGCCTTCCCAAAATGCTGAGATTACTGGTGTGAGTCACTATGCCCGGCCAAAATTTATGATTTTTTTTTTTTTTTTTTTTTTGAGACAAGGTCTCACTCTGTAGTCCAGGTGAGAGTGCAGTGATGCAATAACTCACTGCAGCCTTGAACTTCTAGGCTCAAGTGATCCTTCTACCTTGGCCTCCCAAAGTGCTGGGATTATAGGAGTGAGCTACCATGCCTGGACACATGTTGAAATTTAACTGTCACTGTGATGTAACGGGATTAGGCTGCGAGGGCTCTGCCCTCATGAATGGATAAATGTTGTTACTTACAGGGGATGTTGGTTTATTATCACAAGAAGGGTTGTTAGAAAAAAAAAATGAGTCTGGCCCTCTCTTGCTCTTCTGCCTTTTGCTATATGATGATGGGAAAGGGCTGGTGCCAATCTCTTGGATTTCCCAGCCCCAGAACGTGAGTCAAATAATCATATTTTCTTCATTAATTATTCAGTCTGTGGTATTCTGTTATAGCAACAAAAACCAGACTGAGACTCCCTATTTTTTTCTCTGTCACTGTGACTGCTTCACCTGGTGAAAACTGCTTCCAGAATGACATGGCTTAAAAAACCAACATTTTATTTTATTTATTTATTTTTTGAGATGGAATCTTACTCTGTTGCCCAGGCTGGAGTGCAGTGGCGTGATCTCAGCTCACTGTAGCCTCTGCCTCCTGGGTTCAAGCAATTCTCCTGCCTTAGCCCCTAGTAGCTGGGATTACAGGTGCCCGTCACTATGTCCAGCTAATTTATTTTATTTTATTTTTAAAAATAGAGACAGGGTTTCACCATGTTGGTCAGGCTGGTCTTGAACTCTCCTGACTTCAGGTGATCCGCCCACCTCGACCTCCCAAAGTGCTGAGATTACAGGCGTGAGCCACCAAGCCCAGCCTTTGTTTTGCTTTTTGATACAGAGTTTCGGTCTTGTTGCCCAGGCTGGAGTGCAATGGCACGATCTTGGCTCACTGCAACCTCTGCCTCCTGGGTTCAAGCAATTCTCCTGCCTCAGCCTCCTAAGTAGCTGGGACTACAGGCATGCACCACCACGCCTGGCTAATTTTTGTATTTTTCAGTTGAGATTGGTTTCGCCGCGTTGGCCAGGCTGGTCTCGAATTCCTGACCTCAAGCAACCCACCTGTCTTGGCTTCCCAAAGTCCTGGGATTACAGGCGTGAGCCACCGTGCCCAGCCTCTTTATTTATTTATATACAGAGACAGGGTCTCACTACATTGCCCAGGCTGGGCTTGAACTCTTGGCCTCAAGCGATGCTCCTGCCTTGGCCTCCAAAAGTGCTGGGATTGCAGGCATGAGCCCAACAATAATTTCTTCATATTCCACATACTTATTTAACCATTTTCCTACAGCTAGAAGAAACTTTCAACCTGCAAGACTGTATTTTTTTATACAAGGGCAAACGATAAATAATGCCAAATGTAGTTCCTATTTGGTGATTGCACAGCCACTGTGAGGCATCTCTTTTACCAAAGAGGAACTGGGGCTCAAGGTCACAAGAGTTTGTTGGTGACACAGAGTTACTTGACCTTCAGGTGTCTGATATACCACTTCTTTTAAAAAAGTAACATGCATATCCCAAGAATCTGAAACAGCATGCTACCTCTGAGCTACAATTCTGTGTTGCATGTACTATTGGTATTTTGAGGAAGGGGAAATCAGGTGTGGGAGAAACCAGATTTAGTTCAAATCCCTAAGATTTAGTTTAATTTCAAGCTTACAAAGTTAATATTCTGAGATAAGAGGTACCGAGAGCCAAATTTCTATCATGTTCAACTCCTTTGTTCCCTCCCCTTAGTAAAACCAGCCAACGCTTCCTTGTGACTTAACTTGCACTTTTAACCATGACTCACTTTTCAGTTTGTACCCTCTCTCCCAGTATGACACCAGGACATGGGTGGAGGCCACCTATCACTCATCACCATTACCTTCCCACTCTAGCAGCAGAGGCATTCTGCCTTTAAAAATGGCCTGTGACCAAGTAATAAGCTTCCTGTGGTTATCATGGGTTGGTCACTGTTTAACCAACCCAGGGAGCCATTTACTGTGCACTCTGCTCCAATACTATGAATGTTACTTACTCCACCCACTTAAGTGGGTGGGGTTGGTTCTTTGACCCTTGTGGTGGCTACAAGAATAACAATGTGTTCTGGAGCTCCACTTAGAAAAGCACAGAATGGAAAGGAGATATAAGAAATCTAGCTTGCCGGACATGGCGGTGCATGTCTGTAGTCCCAGCTACTTGGGAGGCTGAGGTGGGAGAATTGCTTGAGCCCAGGAGTTCTGGGTTGTAGTGTGCTATGCCGATCAGGTGTCCGCACTAAGTTTGGCATCAATGTGGTGACCTCCCGGGAGCAGGGGACCACCAGGTTGCCTGAGGAGGGGTGAACTGGTCCAGGTCGGAAACAGAGCAGGTCACAACTCCTGTGCTGATCAGCAGTGGGACTGCACCCGTGAATAGCCACTGCACTCCAGCCTGGGCAACAATAGCGAGACCCCATCTCTAAAAAAATAAATAAAATTAAAAAAAAGAAAAAAGAAATCTAGCTTTAACTCTTTCTTTCCAGGAGTATTATTATTACATTTAGATCGTCTTGTTTTTTTGAGATGGAGTCTCACTATGCTGTCCAGGCTGGACTTGAACTCCTGGTCTCCAACGACCCTCCCCACTTCAACCCCCTAAGAAGCTGGCATTACAGGTGCATGCCACTGTGCAGGCTTGCACCTAATGAAGACTGTCGAAGGAGAATGATTACACAATTTAAAAAATGTTCAAATATTTTAACACTTCTTTTCAGGTAGTTATAGCTAATCCAAAGCAGGGCTACAGCTGGGTGTGGTGGCTCATGTCTATAATGCAAGCACTTTGGGAGGCCCAGGAAGGAGGATTGCTTGAGCCCAGGAGTTTGAGACCAGCTTGGGTAACATAGTGGAACCTCCTCTCTATAAAAGAACCAAAAAATGAGCCAGGTGTGGAACTACATGTGCCTGTAGTTCCAGCCACTTGGGAGGCTGAGGTGGGAAGACCACTTGAACCTGGGAGGTTGAGGGTGCAGTAGCTGTGACTGTGTCACTGCACTCCAGCCTAGATGACAGAGCAAGACCTTGTCAAAAGCCGGGCGCGGTGGCTCAAGCCTGTAATCCCAGCACTTTGGGAGGCCGAGGCGGGTGGATCACAAGGTCAAGAGATCGAGACCATCCTGGTCAACATGGTGAAACCCCGTCTCTACTAA